GCTCAGTGGATGGAGCGTCAGCCTGCGGACTGAAGGGTCCCAGGTTCGATTCCGGTCAAGGGCATGTACCTGGGTTGTGGGCACATCCCCAATGGGAGATGTGCAGGAGGCAGCTGATCGATGTTTCTCTCTCGTCGATGCTTCTAACTCTCTATCTCTCTCCCTTCCTCTCTGTAAAAAATCAATAAAATATATTTAATAAAAAAAAAATGAAGATTGACGTTTTGTTAGGGAAAATACTACTCAAGGATGTGACTATCCCTATGAATTGCTTTTAGTTAGAAAGTTTTAATTTCTGACTCTCCTGTGTGGTTACCTTAGGTCTCTGAGTTGGTAAGGCTGCCACTCAGGCCTCCATGGAGCCTGTCAGGTTTAATATGTGGCCCTTTGTGTTCACAAACTCTCCCACTTTTTCCAAAATTTATTTATTTTGACGTTAAAATTATAATGAAACAAGAAAGTTGCATCTTTTCTATTTCAAAGTCTGGGCCTACATTCTTGTGTTATATTTGTCAAATACATATACTATGGTGTAAGTAGGTCATCTATGTGATAAAATTTTTCAGACTCTTTAATGCAGGCATGTCTCTTTAATTATGACTGCTATATTTGGATCACAGATAATGTGTGCGTGCTTTTAAATATGGTTTTAAAAAAAATTGATATCAGAGAGAGGAAGGGAGAAGGGAGAGGGAGAGACAGAGAAACATCAATGATGAGAGAGAATCATTGCTCCCCTGACTCCTCCACGCCCCCTACTGGGGATCAACCCCGAAATGGGCCTGTACCCTGACAGGTCATTGAACCATGACCTCCTAGTTCACTGGTCAACACTAAACCATTCAGCAACAATGGCCAGGACAGATAATCTCTTTTCATCAACATGGACTCAAGCCCCTTCACCAGGAAGAGAAGACAGCTTTCTGTAGCCATTTTCAAGATGTCTCTCTCATGAGGACGTGACATTTCATAGCCCCTCCAGTGGCGATCTCCGTGTTTTCTACAGGAGTGATGGTGGGGGGAAAAAGAAAAAGAAAAAAAACCCTGATCACTTACTTGGACTCAATGACTACATTACCCAGAACACCATGTGGGGAATACCAACAGCTTAGCCAATGAAGGGTCAGAAAAGGTGTTTCAAGGGGCGGGACTTCCTGCATCCTCAGAGCCT